CTCCGACGACTCTGCCTCTTCGAGCCTCGGGGCCCCGGGCCTCTCGACGCGTGCCACGCGGCCGGGGTTCTCGTCCTCGGGCGCTCCTCGGGCGGGCGGGCAATTTGGGCGGGCGAGGAGGAACGGACCCCACAGAGAGGGGCTCTTTGGGGCCCCTGCGGACTCCCAACGGGGACCCCGAAGAGCCCCTTGAGGGGCCCTTCTCTCCGCCCCCCACGCAGGGCCCCCCCCCCCTGCTGCCGCCCGCCCGAGTCTTCTCCCACACAGCCCCACGCGGGGGCCGAGGCCGGCTCCGAGGAGCCGAGGGCGCGGGGAGAAGCCCGGCGCCCGCTGCTCTCGGAGCCTCCACACAGCAGAGGGCACAGCGCTGTAAACAGGAGCTCTCGGCGCTCCGCGCGCGGATCTCTCGGATCTGCGCTGGACCCCCTCCCTGACGCGCTCCGCGCGCCACGGCGGACCCTTCGAATTTGGTGGAACTGGCGAAACAGGAGGAGGAAGAAAAGGAGGAGGAAGAGAAGGAATAGGAAGAGAAGGAGGAAGAGGAGGAGGAGGAGGAGGAGGAGGAGGAGGAGGAGGATGATGATGATGCTGATGATGATGATGATGATGATGCTGATGATGCTGATGATGATGATGATGATGCTGATGATGCTGATGATGATGATGATGATGATGATGATGATGATGATGATGACAGAGCGCAAATCCAAGAGCTCCGCGCGGAGCGCCAAAAGCTGATGTTCATGCCGTCGTTCCTGCTTCGACCAGGGCTCTCGGGGGGAGCGGAGGCGCGACGCGGCCGCGCCGCCGAGGCCTCGCTCGCGCCCTCGGTCTCCTCCAGGCGGAGCGCGGCCAGGGCTCCGGCGAGCTCGGCGGCCATCCTGGGCACCGGGAGGGGCTCGAGGTGCACAGTCGGGGCCTTGACCTAAGGAACCCAAAACGAGGAACGAGGCCCCTTTTTTCCATAAGTTAAACTTCGGTTTCCGATCGAAAACATAAGGAAGACCTGAGGCAAGCTGCGAAACAATCAAGGAACGCGGAGCCCCTCCCCGACGAGAAGGGTTCCTTCTTCCGGGCCCCGTCTGTACACCAAGTCGTCTGGTCTGCCAAGAAGCTCAATGTATAGACGCCCCAGCTTCCCAGGATCTGGGATGCCGGAGCGTCCATACGCCGAACTCTTTCGCTGAAACCCAAAACTCCCTGACCGATCGAACGGCGCGGCGTACACGTCAGGCCCCTTTGAGGCACCCTGACCCTCACCTCCTCAAACCTCTTGGCTAAATACGACACAACCGCAACTGGTGTTTCTCGAGCTTTCGGCAACTGGTGTTCTTCGGTTCCGCGATCCATTTGGCAATCAAACGCTTGAGCGACGATCAAAAACGGCCTTTGTTCCGCGTGGCGTCTCAGTATCAACACTTGAGTAACTTCGCAACATCTCATGCAAGGAAGACGAACCGGTGATACCTCTTTCCCAATCCGAGCCATCCCGCTAGCACTGAGACTTTGCCAGTGTCTCTGTTGCAACTGAATCGACGCTCCCTGCTGATTATGTACAATCCCCTGCTCTTTCTACATTTGCTGGCCGCAATTACAATGCACTTAGCCGTCCCTCCCCTCAAATGCACGTGCCTAGACAAGCAAACCACCCACTCCTGGTGTTTTGATCGGCAATTGTTTCAGGGGTTGGTATGCTTGCTCTCTGACACCTTGAGCCAAATGCCAAGCGACCGCGGAGTTGAACAACGGCTGCGAGCTCATAAATGGTTCAGACTGGGCCAAGAGAGGACATGCATAAAAGGCTGAAGTTGTAGCAGCTAAGCGGTTTCCATAATACTTATCCCATGACTGTTCTCACTGCTTATCCCTTCTTCCGCATGGTTCACTGCAACCTCCGCATCGTCGCACGACCCTCGTGGGGTTCATGTGGGTTCCCCCATGTACACGCTGACCTGGTTTCCCTCCTACAATATGAACTCTGGCCGCCAGACCTATCCAAGCAAACCGAATCGAATTGCATTTTGCGCGCAAGACGCCACCCTGACCAGACTCGTCGGGCACACGCGAACATGGACTAGGGATCAGTGGATCTGGCGCGTGGGAGCCAAATCCATGGACCGGGGCCGGCCCGACAGAAACATGAAGCAAGTGCCGCCTGATCTAGCGACGGAGCGCGCCGAGTCGGCATAAAAACATGACCCGTCGCTAATCCACGCGCCTTGGTCCATGTTTGCGCTTCCCCGATCTTGGGCTCCGCCTGGCCGTGGCCTTTCGTTAGGTCGGGCATGTCCCACTACAGGCGAATTTTGGACGAAAATGAAAACTAGTCAACACATTTTCAAGCATCGGAAACAATAGTAGAAAATCGGTCCCATACGATTTCTTTCAGTATTTTTGAAAACTCTTCCTGTAAAGGGACAGGCCCGACTTCGCAGAAGCCGGCAGGGAGCCAGGTCGCACGGCTGACCCCGGCGGCGCCTCCCGAGCGCGGCTGCCGCGCTCATGCGGCAAGCCGACCGGGGCAAGCAACCTGCTACAATGACCGAGAGGAGGAAGAAGGGGAGGAGGAGGAGGAGGAGGAGGACGAGGACGACGAGGAGGAGGAGGGCGAGGAGGAGGAAGAGGAGGATTTTTTCCCACGGGACTTCAACTCGAAACGGGCGTGAACAGCATCAGCTTCACGTAGATGATGAAGGGGACCACGAAGACCAGGAGAAGAAGGAACAGCACCGCGCCCACGTCAACGCCCAATACGAGCGGATAAATGACGAGGCCCATCTTGAGCACCCCATCCAGCAACCATCGACCCCCCACTTACGACACCCACGTCTGAAACAACCAATACATACAGACACGCAGAGAAGCATAGCGTCCGTGAGAACAGACGCCACCCAGCGGCGATATGGATAAGGACTCCCTTTAACATACTCCACGCAGATGAGGAAGAGGAGCATGGCCAGGGATAAGTAATACCGACACCACCCATAGCTACGAAAGCGACGAGGACTGCAGTGAACACCACCCCGAAGAAAAACAACACGACGTGCGCGGCGACGTGGTACGCCCAGGGCGAGCCCCCAAACAAGGAACCAGCCAGCATCGCACGGGGACGGAACTTGCCCAAGACAAGCAGGAAGGATGTCCCAGACCAAGGCCCAGACCAGCTGAGCTGCCCAGAAAACAAACAGACCGAACCAGACGACGCGGTACGCCCAGGGCGGGCGCCCTAACGAGAAGGAGCCTGTCGGCACCGCCCTGGGGCGGAACTTGCCCAGCACGCGCAGGAAATGGAAGACCAAAGGACCAGCCATACTGTACGGATAGGCGAAGCACGACGAAACGAAAAAGCCAACAGCAATTGCAAGAAAAGCGAGACCACGAAGACGCGCACCTCCTGGCAACTGGCACAGGCTCAGCATGAAGATGCCAGGGATCGGGAGCAGGATTTCCGGAGCTGCTCCACCATCTCCAAACACAACACGGAGTGGCAAAATGCCCCCAGCGTTCACCTCCGAGAAGCTCTTGTCCTCGGCGGTGCTCAAATAAGCACACCCTTTGGTGGTCCAGCCCTGGGGCATCCGCGGCGCGAGCGAGCTTGAACCAAACTGGCTCGAGCCGAGATGGAACTTGAGGGAGGAGGAGGAGGAGGAGGAGGAGGAGGAAGAGGAGGAGGAGGAGGAGGAGGAGGAGAAGATCAGTGTGCGCTCCGAGAGCCAGCCACGACGACGACGACCACGACGACGGCGGCGACGTCGTTCTGGTGCGCGCGGCGGTCCGGAGGTCTGCTCCGGGTGTCTTCTTCGGACCCGAGCCACCTTCGGCGCCCGAGCCCGCTCGGCCGGGGGAGAGGGCGAGGGGAGGGGGAGGACGGAGGAGGAGGAGAAGGAGGAGGAGGAGGAGGAAGGAGGAGGAGGAGGAGGAGGAGAGAAGGAGGAGGAGGAGGAGGAGGAGGAGGAGGAGGAGGAGGAGAGGAGGAGGAGGAGGAGGAGGAAGGAGGAGGAGGAGGGAGGAGGGAGGAGGAGGAGGAGGAGGAAGGAGGAGGAGGAGGAGGAGGAGGAGGAGGAGGAGGAAGGAGGGGGAGGAAGGAGGAGGAGAGGGAGGAGGAGAGGGAGGAGGAGGAGAGGGAGGAGGAGAAGGAGGAGGAAGGAGGAGGAAGGATGAGGGAGGGAGGCAGGAGGAGGAAGGCAGGAGGAAGAAGGCAGGAGGAGGCAGGAGAAGGAAGGAGGAAGGACCCCTCTCCCGGGCGCGCGGAGCGCGCCAGGGGCGGCGCCGGAGGCGCCGCCGGGGGGCCCCAACGCCGATCCGAGAAATCCGCGCGGACCTCCGAGGTTTTATGTTTATGCCACTTTTTGTTCCCCTATAAGAGCAGAAGCCAAGTCTTCATATAGCGTACAGTCGACCCGTATCAGAAGGACGCTCGATAAGGATGCAAAAGCCTTGGCAGGCCATGCCGACACTCTGCGAGCGGGGCGCGGCCGGCGAGAGTGGCCAAGGATGGACCGAGAATGCAATGATGCAAAGGAAACCTTGGAAAGGTTGCCCATCCTTACTATGCGGGTTCACTGTAGACCCGATGCGCTAAAACAAAACCATCTGAGCCAGACGTGTTCCGAGAACTCGGAACTCGGAACTCGGACCTGCAATTGTCGCCAGCCAGGGCGTCGCAGGTGGGCGCCGTAGCGCTGGGCATGTGAAACATGTGCGAAGCTGGGAGAAACATGTTCTGAGAACACTGCGTGCAAAGCACAAAGAGGCTCTGGGACCATTCCTTGGTGGGCCTGTGCGGGCAAGCCAGGGCGTTTCGCCGCCGCTTGAACCTTCGCGCCCCCTCGCCATCGCGCCTCCCGCCCTGGAGTTAGGTCGGGCATGTCCTCCTACAGGCGGGTGTTGGACGACAAATAAAACGTCGCCAACAAAAACTAATCGTTTTGCTTTCGCTTTATTTTTCGTTTTGCTCTACCTGCTTTCCTGTACCTCCCTCCCAGTGCGAAAAACAGAACACGGCCGAAGTCCAGCAAGCCAGCGCTGAGGTCCAGCCCTGTCCTCCTGCAGAGAGAGGGACATGCCGCGCCCGATTTGACCCTGGAGCAGGGCCGCCCTGGCCCAGACCGCGACGCGCGGCCCGCGACGACCGAGGCGCCCCTCTCGCTCGGCCGCCGAGCGGGCTCGACCGCGGGCCAGCGGGCGGCCCAGCGGGCTCAGACACCGCACGGGCTCAGGAAGGGAACCTCAAAGGTCGGTCTGTCGCCCCCCCCCCCCCCCCGAGAGGAGGGTCGGGAATCCACACGGGAAACGAAGGATGACATTAACGTAAAAGCTCGGAGGTCCGCGCGGGTTTCTCGGATCGGCGCTGGACACCCCTGGCGGCGCCGCCGTGGCGCGCTCCGCACGCCAGGGAGGGGGGTCCAGCGCCGATCCGCAAAATCCGCGCGGACCTCCGAGCTTTTATGTTTATGCCATTCTTCGTTTCCCTATCTACTGACCCCGGCCAATCCAAACCTGGGCCAGTCAGGCTTGGCAGTGCCCTGCAAGATCCTGCCTGCAGGGTCCTGCAGGGTCCTGCACCCAGGCCCGGGTCCATGCGACCCTGGCCCTGCAGGATCCTGCAAGATCTGGCGCCCTGGCTGACCCCCGTTTACATCGACACCCGTCTCAAGGATCGCCGACAGCTCGGCGGCAGGCCCCCGATCGCGAGTCCGCACGCTGCTGGGCGGGGCGGGCCATCGGGCCCCTAGTGGCGACGAGTGAGTGGGTTGAGCCGGCCAACGGATGGACCAATGGCTGGGCCAAGTCATGGCCCCTAACGGCGACCTATCGGCGACCAATGAATACATGAACCAACGAATCGGCCCCTGTCGGCCATCTAAAACACGGCTAGGATCGGGATAAATCGCTCCAGAGCGTTCTGGAGCGCTCTCAGAGCGTTCCAGAACGCTCTGGAGCGGCCGCGGCGCCCAATACATCCTCCAAACCCGCCGATTCTCAGAGATTTCGAATTATCCCGATCCGATTTTGTCCCGATCTTCGCGTCGTTTTAGGCCAAGGCGGGCCAGTGAATGGGCGACCGGGCATCGATGCTTCCCCCCCTTGAGCCTATCCCCCCCCCCTTGCGTTACCCCTGGCGGGAGCGCCCGCGCGCGGCAGGCGCGCCCGCTACCGCGGGGGCCTCCTCTCAAAGGTGCGGCCCCAGGACGTCGCCTCCAGTCCGCCAGGGCGCTCCTTCGAGCGCCCCTGGGGCTTGCGAGGGGCCCGGGCGCTCAGCGTCTCGAGAACATCGGAACAAAGGTTCCCCTCTACATCTTTCGGGGATGGACAGAACCCCCTTTAGCAAAACGTGATTTAGGGAAAACGACCTGAGGCCCAAACCTGGCGGGCGCAAACCTGCAAAATAACTGCCACGGCGCCCTCTCGAGAACCGAAAACGGACAATTCACTAATCGACGTGTCACTGTTGGGGGTTCTGGCCACCCCCGAGTCTTGAGAAAATCAGAACAAAGGTTCCCCTCTACATCCTCGGGCTCTGGGGGGGACTCGCTGGGCTCCGGCAGCAGCGGCTCAGGACGAGGAGCTGGCCCTGGGGCATGCTCGGGACTTCGGGGGGGCCGTGCAGCACGCGTAGGAGGAGGAGGAGGAGGAGGAGGAGGAGGAGGAGGAGGAGGAGGAGGAGGAGGAGGAGAAGGAGAGGAGGAGGAGGGAGGAGGAGGAGGAGAAGGAGAGAAGGAGGAGGAGGAGAGAGGATGAGGATGAGGATGAGGATGAGGATGAGGATGAGGATGATGATGATGATGATGATGTGATGATGATGATGATGATGAAGGAGGAGGAGAGGAGGAGGAGGAGGAGGAGGCGGAGGCGGAGGCGGAGGCGGAGGAGGAGGAGGAGGAGGAGGAGGAGAGGAGGAGGAGGGATAATGATGATGATGATGAGGAGGAGGCGGAGGAGGAGGGGAAGGAGGAGGAGGAGGAGGAGAAGGAGGAGCAGGAGGAGGAGGAGGAGACGGAGGAGGCGGAAGCGGAGGCGGAGGAGGCGGAGGAGGCGGAGGAGGGAAATGAGGAGGAGAAGGAGGAGGAGGAGGAGGAGGAGGAGGAGGATGAGGCGGAGGAGGAGGAGGCGGAGGAGGAGGAGGAGGAAAAAACGTCGGACGTCTGGGGGTGTGGAAGCCGCCCGGCTGGGAGGCCGTCGGCCAAGCGCGGATCCAAGAGGTCCGCGCGGACCTTCGACAGTTAGTGCTGATGCGAATGTGCAGTTGGGGGCCAGTCCACAAGAAACCTTCCACAAGAAACCCAACCCTGAGACCCCAGGACAGGTGTGGGAACGTCGCGTCTTCCGTAGCAGAACCATCGAAGCCCAAGAAACCCAGGGCACCCTGGAGGCGAGCAGGGTGTTTCTTGGCATGGGTCTCCACTGTATCGGCGGCGAGTGAGGGGGGTAAAAGTGAGAAGGAGAAGGCCTTCTCGGAAGGCGACTTCTCAGAAGCCTTCCGAAGGCCTTCTCCTTTTCATCTCCCCCCTCGCTCGCCACCGAATGTAGTTCGTTCTCCTTCCACGTGGGGCTCCTCAGACTTCTCGGAAGCTTCCGCGCCTTCTGCGAATCTGTGTTCGGTCTTCGGGGAAGGTTTTAGAAAGCTCTCGGAAGGCCGGGGGACCTCCGAGCCTGCCGAGGAGGCCTGCTCCTCCTCGCTCCCCGCCCTCGCCCGACACGGAGCGCAGTTCGCTCTTCCTCGACGTGGGGCTCCTCCCGGCGGCGATGGCGGCGCAGGCTCGGCGGATCTCTGCTCCAGGTTCCTCAGCACGAAGTGCAGCTTGCCGTCGGGGCCTACGCTCCTCTCCTCGCGGAACCGGCCCTCGGGCGGGGGGGGGGTCGGAGGGCGTGCGGGGGGTCGCGCGCGTGCGCGCAGGGGACGTCCGAGACGACAATCCCGGCATGGTTTCCTGCCGCGCCCCACTCCTGACACCCACGTCCTCGCCTTTCCCCCCTCTCCCATCACCTCCTCCTCGTCATCCCTGTCCACCCTCTCCTCTCCTCCTCCCTCTCCTCCTCCCCGTGCAGACCTCCTCCTCTCCTCTCCTCTCCTCTCCTCTCCTCTCCACTCGTCTCCTGTCCTCTCCTCTCCTCTCCTCTCTCTCCTCTCTCCTCTCCTCTCTTCTCCTCTCCTCTCCTCTCCTCTCCTCTCCTCTCTCCTCTCCTCTCCTCCCTCTCCTCTCCTCTCCTCTCCTCTCCTCTCCCTCCTCTCCTCCTCCTCCTCCTCCTCCTCCTCCTCCTCCTCCTCCTCCTCCTCCTCCTCCCTGCTCCTCCTCCTCCTCCTCCTCCTCCCTTCCTCCTTCGCCTCTCCCCTCCCCTCCTCATCCTCCTCATCCTCCTCATCCGTGCTTCCTCTCTTCCTCTTCCTCCTCCTCCTCTTCCTCTTCCTCGTCCTCCTCCTGTTCTTCCCCCGTCCTCCTCCTCCTCTCCTCCTCCCCTCCTCCTCCTCCTCCTCCTCCTCTCCCCTCCCTCCTCCTCATCCTCACCCTCCTCCTCTTCTCTCCCTTCCTCCTCTTCTCTCCTCTCCTTCTCTTCTCTCCTCTCCTCTCCTTCCCTCTCCTCCTCCCTCTCCTCCACCCCCTCCTCCCCCTTTCTCCTCCCTCTCCTCCTCCCTGTTCAGACCTCCGACCTCTCGGCCCCTCTCCATGGGTTCGTTTTTGTTCGTCCTGACTGGTTTTTGCTACACGCCCAAAGCCCGAAACCGGTCGCAGACGCCGAGCATGCATAAACGAAACGTCAGGATCTATGTCTGCGGGCCCCTGGCAATCTGGATACCCCCTTTCCTCTGGGGCCCGCACCAAGTGGGGTGGCTCGAAAGGGGGCTGGCCTTCTAAGAAGGCCTGGGGCATCTCATAAGGCGAGGCCCTTCTAATAGGGCCTGGAAGTTTCTGAGAAAGGTGTCTTAGAATTCGGGCCGGCAACTGGTCAACAACATTTCTAGCGCGAGCGTGGCCGCCCCTGGGGGTCCCTGGACGAAAAAAGTACCCCCGCAAGTCCCGGCAAGGTCCCGGCAAGACCCCGGGCAGGTCCCGGGCAGGTCCCAGAAGGGCCTGGAAGTTTCTGAGGCGTCCTAGAACACATGGCAGCAAATCCACCCAACTAAAATAAAAAAACACCCCGACAAGCGAAACCGTTTAGTAAGCGCACCCAAAGGCAGGAATCGAGCAGGGCAGGGCCGTCTCGTAGACGCCCAAGGCCGTGCGGCAAACGCCAGCTGTGGGGGTCGGGGTGTGCGTTTCCGTGCCTCCTCCTCTGACAGAAGCCGGGCGTGCTTCTGAGAGCCCCCCCCCGCCTTCTTGATAGCCCCCCCCCTTCTCAGACGGCTGCCCCCCTCGCGCCCCCCCCCTTTGTGCGCACCGCCAACGTACCCACCTCCTCCTCCTCCTCCTCCTCCTCCTCCTCCTCCTCCTGGACGCTGGTGGCAGATACGTCGCGCCGGCGTTGCCATCCCCCCCCACCGGTGCCCCTGGGGCGGTTGATCGACATGCGCTGTAGAAGTAAGAAATAGAAAAGGACGCGACGCTGCAAGGGGGACCCCCGTTCAGGCACGGAGCCGCTAGGCTTAAGTCGGGCATGTTCGCCTACAGGAGGAACATCAAAAAACAATGAAAAAATACTCTGGGGACGATTTTTCAACTATTCTGGATTATTCTTGAATGCTCTTTGACTATTTCTAAACTTCCGCCCCAAATCCGCCTGTAGGAGGACATGCCCGACCTAACGCTAGGCCCTCCCACGACCCTGGTGGCTGGGAGGGAGGACGACGCACGGCGACGACGGAGGACTGCGACCACGGCTGCAAGGCCTGGTGGCGAAGGCTGGGGAGTGGCTGGGCGGCAAGGCGGGCGCGGCCGCGGCCGCCCTGCCACGGGTGGGCGCAATGGGCCTCACCGACCGCGGGGACCCCATCGAGCAGGCCCCTCCGCCCCACCCCTCGGAGCCCTCGCTCGCCGAGGCGAGCGAGCGGTGCCCGAAAGGAAGCCTGCGATGCCCCTCTCAGGGGTGCCCGTCGGGCGCGAGGAGGTCTGCGCCGTCCTCGGCGGCGGCCTGCGGCGGTCGCCGTGCCTGGGCCCTCGAGCGCCCCCCCCCCCCCCCAGTGAAGCCCACTTGTCTTGTCCCAAAGTCAGGCCACCGATTGACCGGGCGTGCCAGCGTGCGCAGCAGCGAAGCGAGGCAGCCAGTCTGGGAGAACACGGAGGGCAGAGGTGGCCGAGGCCGACTGCAAGCGGCGTGGGGGCTGTTCAAGAGCTGCGGTGGGCTGTGGCCGAGCTGTGCAAGCCAGGACCAAAGGGAGAGCAAGAGCGCGGTGGCGGCGAAGCGAGCTCTGGCGGCGCTGCAGGTCGCGGCCACCCTGGCTAACGCCAGGGTGACAGGTGATGGTTCTCTCCTCCGCCCGAAGACCCCCGCCCTCCCCCAGATACCGCCTGCACCCAACGTGGTGACTGCTCTGATTGCGCACTCCAGATTTCGCCATAAAAGGGAGGGGGTCACAACACTCACAGACGGGCAATTCCAGACCCCCCCAAACAAGCCATGAAAGGGCGGCTTTTTGCCCAGACCCACTGGAACCCTCCAAGACAGCTCAAATCTGACCCCATCCCAAATCAGACCACCCCCCTTTTATTGTGAAATCTGGAGTAGCTAGGTGGCAAGGCTGCACGGCTGCATGCTGAGGGTGCGCGGAGTGCGGCACGAGACAGTGGCAACAGGGCTGAAGCGGCGAATGCGAGCAGCGCGCAAAAGAGATGCGTGAAAGCAGCCTCTCAGCTCTAAGCTGTAGCGTGACGGCAACGCCCTGAGTAAAAGGGCCATGGGACACATGAAACAACAACCACAACAACAAACAACTTAAGACTGTTCGCTCTTTCCTGCTCGAGTGTCCGTTAACGCGTATTTCCCAACCCTTTTGGGGGGTCTACCTTTCTTCCCTGCACGCTGGGCCCCGGCAAGCGGCGGGTCGGCCGCGGACCGTCGGCCTGGCCAGCGGCAGCGCTGATCGGCGGCAACCCGACCCCAAGAGGGACGGACAGGGGACCGACCACGACGACGACGACGACGTCGTCGATTACGACGGCGACGATGACGAGCGAGAGCGAGAGCGAGAGAGAGAACGACAGCAGGGCCACGAAGGGCACGAAGTATAAGTAGGCCACGAAGGGCGACAGCGGGGACACGAAGGGAATGCGTATGGGGCCACGAAGAGCGCGAACGAGCGGGGGCCGCGAAGGGCAGATAATGCGGGGCCACAGAAGGCAGCGAGGGGGCCACTGAGGGCAGCAACTGGGCCACGTAGGAAAGCGAGGGGGCCACAAAGGGCGACAGCGGGGCCACGACGGGCATGCACATGGGGCCACGACGGGCGCGAACGAGCTGATGCCACGAAGGGCATGCGTATATCGGGCCGCGGAGGGCAAGGACGGGGCCACTGAGGGTAGCAACGGGGCCACGAAGGGCAGCGAGGGGGCCACGAAGGGCGACAGCGGGGCCACGAAGGGCATGCATATGGGGCCACGACGGGCGCGAACGAGCGGGGGCCACGAAGGGCATACATATATGGGGCCACGAAGATCAGCGAGGGGGCCACGAAGGCTTGCAACGGGGCCACGAAGAGAAGCGAGGGGGCCACGAAGGGCTGCAACGGGGCCACGAATGGCAGCGAGGGGACCACGAAGGGCTGCAACGGGGCCACGAAGGGCAGCGAGGGGGCCACGAAGGGCTGCAACGGGGCCACGAAGGGCAGCGAGGGGGCCACTGAGGGCAGCAACGGGGCCACGAAGGGCAGCGAGGGGGCCATGAGGGGCTGCAACGGGGCCACGAGGGGCAGTGAGGGGGCCACGGAGGGCTGCAACGGGGCCACGAAGGAGGAGGAGGAGGAGGAGGAGGAGGTGGAGGAGGAAGAGGAGGAGCATGACGAGGGACGAGCTTTTTCCCCGCCGAGAGAAACGGAGGGGGGAGACTTAGAGGTTATTCGAAATGCCTGCATCAGTTTCGTGGGCAGCATCCCCCCCAGCATTTACCGGCGGCTGCGCCGCCGCCGAGCCTGCGGGCCGTTCCTCTCGATGACCAGCGCCTCCCCCTCCCAGAAGGCCCGGCACTTGAGCCGCTGCTTCTGGGCCGGCGGCGAGGGGCGGGAACACAAATAGGAGGGGGAGGAGGCGGAGGCGGAGGCGGAGGCGGAGGAGGAGGAGGAGGAGGAGGAGGAGGAGGAGGAGGAGGAGGAGGAGGAGGAAGAGTAGGCGGAGGAGGGTGAGGAGGAGGAGGAGAAGGAGGAGGAGGAGGAGGAGGAGGAGAGGAGGAGGAGGAGGAGGAGGAGGAGGTTTGAGGAGGAGGAGGAGGAGGAGGAGGAGGAGGAGGAGGAGGGAAGGGGAAGGCGGAGGAAAAAGGAGGAAAAAGGAGGAGGAGGAGGAGGAGGAACAAGGAGGATGAGGAGGAAAAGGAGGAAAGGAGGAGGAGGAGGAGGAGGAGGAGGAGGAGGAGGAGGAGCAAGAGCAAGAGCAGGAGCAGGAGGAGGGGGGGAAGGAGGAGGCGCAGGAGGAGGAGGAGGAGGACACGACGGGTGGACTTTGCTGCCTCCCTCCTGCCATGGTGGACCTCCTGCGAGGAGCCCTCGCCCGCGTGGCCAGACTCCCCTCGCAGCCCTGGCCGCACTGGCACACGCCCGGGGGGTTAGGTCGGGCAGGTCCGTCTACAGGCGGATTTTGGACGTCAATTTCTCGGGTCGGGCGAAAGGGGGGGATAGCAAAAGGGGGGATTGAGAATCAGCTCACGTAGCTGACTTTCCCGGCGCCTCCCGGCGCCAGAGGCGGCTATTTGTCGATGAATGGGCCCCTCGGTGGGGCCGAAACCAGATGCATGCAGCAAATTTCGTACCCCCCCCTTTCCCACTCCCCCCCTTTCGTCCGGCCCGAATTTCTTAATACCCACCAGAAACCAACAATCGCCACAAGATCACGAGAAATCGTCTCCAGACGATGTCTCGTTCTGCTCTTCTTGCATGCTCCTCCAGCAGGAGGGACATGCCCGCCTTGACCCTGGGGCAGCGAAGTCGACAGGACCAGCGCCACCGCACCGCGGTCGCTCGCGAACGCCTCGTGCGCAGCGAGGGGGGGGGGGGGGGGGGGGGGGGGGGGGGCATTTTGCGTGGCCGCCACGGCGGGCCCCCGGCCACTGACGGGGAAGAACGGCCCGAGAGCCCAGAGGCCCTCAGGAGCCCAAGGTCACCCCGGTTCCAGCGCCCTGGCAACCTGAATAGTAATAAGCAGACGAAGAAAAATCGTATTGACGATACTTACTGATAGCACGAGCAAGAAAATGAGCAGCAATCGTAAGAATAGCAAGACTACGAAAATAAACCAAAAGTAATGATCATCATGGAAAGAAGAAGACTGAACGACATGATAAGCAGCAGCGCTGATACCCGAAGGCCCGAGTGGACTTCTCGGATCGTTGCTGGGTCGAGACCCCTGGTGCGCGGAGCGCGCCCGAGGCGGAGGCGAGGGGGTCCAGCGCTGGCTAAAAGCATCCACGCAGACCTCCGAACACTTCTGCTCATGCTGAGCTTCCGCGTCCTTCGGCGGGAGAGGCCCGCGCATCGTAAAACACGGAGGCGGCCGGTCCGTCGTGCCCTTCAGGCCTCGGGGCCGTCAGGCAGACGGCTCGCGGCGAGGAAGCTGCCCCGGGGAGGGGGTCGAGGGGTCCGGGGAGCCCCTTGCCATCGCTCGGACGTCCATTTCCCGTGCATGTTTCGGTTTCGCGCGTGTTTTTTTTGCTCGATGGTCCAGGATGGTCCTCGATGGTTCTCGCCGAGAAACATGCTCGCATCCGAGCGATGCCAGGGCCCACGCCAACATTCTGCTGCCGCAGAACTCCTGGTCCCTTCCTCGGGGGCAGCTTCGCGTCCCAGGCAGGTGTCTGATCGTCGTCCAGGGGCCAGAACACGCCCCCGGGGGGCCGACATTTTGTGCACGATGCCGCGAGGGAGCAACAAGTACCTGTGGATCTCTCGGCACACATCAAGAAGGTCGAAGCGCCGGATGTATGGGCAAAGCGTCCTCGTCAAACCATCTCTCTAAAACCAAGCCATGAATTTCCCAGAAGCCGTGGTCTGGCACGCTCCGGGAATCACATTTGGCTCCTGGTGTTGCCCCCAGAGCGCGAACAGAAACGAGGGCGGGACCTGAAGGAAACCTGCCAACGAGGTTGCCCCACGCAGCCTTGCGGTCGATCCCTGGCGAGGAGGGGAGAGAACGCAGAGGAAGACACAACTCCACAGGCGCAAACTTCTGGCGCTCCGCGTAGACTTCTTGCACCCGCGCTGGGACCCCCCCTGGCGGCGCCTCCTCTTGGGCCGTGTTGGGTCGTCGGAAAGCCGAAAATGAGCAAATACCCACATCCCTCAAAAAACCCAAGGCAAATCAATGAATTCTGGCCTCGGGCTCGCGATGGAGGGCCGAGGCGCGACCCCAGAGCCGGCGAGGAGGAGGAGGAGGACGGGGAGGAGGACCGAGGCTCGAAGCTCGACGCTCCACGGGGCGCCCCGCTCCTGGCCCTCTTCGGGGACTCCTCGGCATCGACCCTGGACGCCGAGCCGCCTCGGCGCACGTGCCTCGGACGGGGCTGCACGGGCACGGCCTCCTCCAGAGAGTGCCCATCGCACCGACCGTGCCGGCGTGCACGGCAGCGGGCCGCCTCGGCTCGCCGGAGGATGGGGCGGAGCCGGGCGACGCCTGTGCCAAGTCGGATCGACCAGGCCGAGGTGGGCCCCCGACAGGGGGTGGGTGGGTGGGTGGAGGAGGAGGAGGAGGAGGAGGAGGAGGAGGAGGAGGAGGAGGCGGAAGAGGAGGAGGAGGAGGAGGCGGAAGAGGAGGAGGAGGAGGAGAGCGAATCGATGTAATCACAGGTGATCTGCAGCGCACGCGGCAGCGATGCGCTGCGACCGCGAGTGCGCGTGCCAAAAGCACGCAGCGTGCGTGCCGAGCGGTCGGTGCTGTAATGCCACCGCCCAGCGGGCACGGTGCATACTTGGGGTGGGGAAGATGGCGGCCAGCAGGAGCATGCGGATTCCTCCAAGAAGGAGTGGGTCTATGAACAGGCGGCAACCATCAGAGGGAGCCAGGAACACATCGTGCGTTCAAAAAGTTGAGAGCTGGCCCTCCTGTATCGCCTGCGGAAAGGGAGGTCCACGCAGGCGAGCTGGCCAGCATCCTTAGCACAGTGCAGTGGAGGCACCTCCCGGGAGCAGCTCAGAACTTGCCGGACTTCCTGAAGTCCGCGCCGGCGTAGGGGGCCTTGCTCTCCTCCTCGATGCGCAGGAGCTGGTTGTACTTGCAGTTGCGCTCGGAGCGGCAGGGGGCCCCGGTCTTCAGGTGGCCGGTGCCGAGCGCGACCGTGAGGTCGGCCAGGAAGTGGTCCTCCGTCTCGCCGCTGCGGTGGGAGCAGAAGACGCCCCAGCTGTTCTCGACGCACAGCTTGTAGGCCTCGATGGCCTCCGAGATGGACCCGATCTGGTTCACCTTCAGGAGCATCGCGTTGGTGGCCTTCTTCTCCACGCCCTTGGCCACGATCTTGGGGTTCGTGCAGTAGAGGTCGTCCCCCACGATCTCGACCTTGTCGCCGACCTTCGCGGTGAGGGCGGCGTGGTTGTCAAAGTCGTTCTCGTCGCAGGGGTCCTCCAGGATGACCACCGGATACTTGCCGCACAGGTCCACCCACCAGTCGACCAGGTCTGAGCCCGCCTTGAGGTTCTTCGGGTCCTGCTCGCTGGCGGGCTTCTTGAAATCCAGGTTGTATTTGGCCTTCTCCTTGTCGTAGGTCTCCGAGGCGGCTGGGTCCGAGCCGACCATGATCTTTCCAGTGTACCCTGTCTTCTCGATCGCCTCCACGAGCAGCTTCAGCGCGGCCTCGGGGTCGCTGATCTTCGGGGCAAAGCCCCCCTCGTCGCCGACGGCGGTGGAGTCGATGCCGTACTGCGCCTTGATGAGGCCCTTGAGGGTGTGGTAGGTCTCGGACCCCATGCGCATGGCCTGCTTGAAGCTCTCGGCGCCGGTGGGGATGAGGAAGAACTCCTGGAAGGGCAGGTAGTTGCCCGCGTGCACCCCGCCGTTGATGGCGTTGAAGCACGGGACGGGCATCACCATCTTCGGGGAGCCCGCCAGCCGGTTCAGGAACCTGTACAGCGGCTCGCCGTTCGCCGCCGCCCCCGCGCGGCAGCAGGCCATGGAGACGCCGAGGATGGCGTTGGCGCCGAGCTTGGCCTTGTTGTCGGTGCCGTCCAGCTTGTTCATGATGGCGTCGATGGATTTGATCCGCTTGGCGTCCTTGCCCTTGAGCGCTGGGCCGATCACCTCGATGACGTTCTTCACCGCCTTCTCGACGCCCTTGCCGTGGTACCTGTCGCCCCCGTCGCGCAGCTCCACCGCCTCGTTCTCGCCCGTGGAAGCACCAGACGGCACGTCCGCGCGGAACACGCCGTCCTTCGTGGTGATCTCCACCTCCACGGTCGGGTTGCCCCGCGAATCGAGGATCTCGCGGGCGAACACCTTCTTGATGATGGCTGGGCCAGTCTTCTTCTTCTCGTCCACCGGCGCTGGGGTGGCCTTGAGCGCCTTGGAGCGGATGCGGTCCCCTCCGACGAACTCGTCGTACCCGGTGTACCCCTTGTAGGTCACCTTCACCGGGGCCTTCGTGCGGTTCTTGGCGGTGGACACCGAAAGGACCTCAGCAGCGTACCACTGGTCGCCCTCGCTCACCTGCAGCTTCATGCCAGGCTCCAGCCCCGAGTAGTCGTACAGCATCTTCTTAGGCGCCTCCTTGGCCGGGGCGGCCTTCTCGGCAGTGGCCTTCTCCGGTGCCATGGCTGCCCTGCTCTTCGAGACTCTCGCCTTGGGTCGAACCAATTCTTGAGCCAAAATGGCTACGGAGGAGGAGGAGGAGGAGGAGGAGGAGGAGGAGGAGGAGGACCACGACCTCCACGGATCGGGAAGGAAGCACGACGGGCGGGCTCTCTAGCCACCCTCGACCTCCAGGAGCAGCCTGCGGCCCCCGGGGCCATCCCCAGATGCCCCTGCCACAGAAGTGCGAGCTCGGGGATGGGGCCAAGAGCTCCAGGGACCACTGACCTCCGACGACTCGACAGTTTCGCGTCTCGGGGCCCAGGTCCTCTCGAACCTTTCCTCAGGACCGGCTTTTCGTACCGAGTCGCTTTCTGGCAGCTCCCTGGCCCGAACTTGCCTCCGAAGGCCGAAAACGCCGAGAAACACCTCGGCCGTGGCATGTTCTAGTCTCGGGATGTCTGGTGACCGCCTTCCCGAGGACCTCCGGGGCGGGGGAAGGAGTCCTCAATGCAGTCAGGCAGACTCCTGACGCCCAGGGGAGGAGGAGGAGAGGAAGGAGGCCCTGGCCAGGAACGCGCTCCGGGTCTGGATCTACAGGTCGGGGAGTGGGCGATTCGAGGAGGCAGGAGAAGGGAAGGTTCTCGAATCTGCCAGGGGGGGCCCCCTCCTCCTCCCTCCTCCTCTTCCTCCTCCTCCTCCTCCTCCTCCTCCTCCTCTTGCTCCTCCTCCTCCTCCTCCTCCTCCTCCTCCTCCTCCTCTCCTCCTCCCCCGCCTCTCTCTCTCTCTCTCTCTCTCTCTCTCTCTCTTTCTAAGACCTTTCTAATAATGAAGGAAAGACGACACCATCACCACCAGGGCGAAGAGCTGGGGGTGGTCCTGCTGGTGCCCCGCTCAGGACATCCTCAGCCTCCAGCTCGGGGAGGCATCGTGGACATCCTCGTTAGAGGTAGCGCCCCCACTGGTGGTGTTGTTGTTGGTGGTGGTGGTCGGTGGTTGGTGGTGGTGGTGGCGGTTCGGCGGCGCATAAGGGGGGAAGGGAGAAGGAGAAGGCCTTCTCAGAAGGCGGCGGGGCTTCTGAGCAGCCCTTGCGACTTATCAGAGATTTTCTGCGTCTGCGGTGAAGGTTCAGAAACCTTCTCAAAGGGACTTCCGAGCCTTCTGAGAGGGCCCGCCCCTTCTCACTTTGCCCCCTCGCTCGCCGCTGAGTGGTGCTGGTGGTGGTGGCGTCGTTTCTCCTTCCTTCTAAATTCTCGATGGTTGAGAGCATGTTCTCAGCGCCTCTGGGGGGAGGATTCCTGGCAACGCTGCTCAGATTACGTGCGGCCCGCCGTTCCGACCGTCCTTCGGGGTCGAGGTGGAACTGCTAGTGCCAATGGGGCCATCCTGCTGGGGACAACTCCATCGTAGACGCGCTGCCCCGGGTCAGCGTTAACCCAGGTCAGCCAGGGCCAAGTCGGATCGGCGATCGACATGAATCGGATCGGGGAAATTGGCAGCCGAGTCGGGAAAAGTCGAATCGGTGGACACCGGCAGGCTAGTATGCCTCCAGTGAGAAATAGGAACCCGAATCGAAATCCCAAGCCGAACCGAATCGGAATCGGAAGCCACCGAAATCGAATCGGATCGAATCGGAGGAGTCGAGATGAGCTCTGCCTGGGGGGGGCTGGGAAGTAACGCCCAAACCGGAGTCAGCGGAGCGAGCGGAAGGTGGGTCGGCTCCACAGGGCTCCCAAGTCCAGGTCGGCGCCAGAGGCTCCCGGCGGGGAGCGGACCCCCGTGGAAGGTTGCCCCCGCCACGTGGGCCCAGGAAACCCCTATCTCGCGGCCCGCTTCTGGGGGTTGCATCAGCACCCCCACGCCCACACTCAACCCCACACTTGGGTCGGGCATGTCCCCCTACAGGCGGATGTTGGACGAGAAACAACAAATACCCCCAAACATGCTCCCAAAATGCTCCAGCACAGCCAGAAAATCGTCCCCGGACTATTGTTCGACTGTGTTTGAATACGTATTCCCCCCGTGGAGGGACAGACCCACACTCAGAACCCCACACCCACACCAGCCCCCACACCCACACCCACACCCACACCCACACCCACGACCAGGCCGCCCCACGCCATCTCCGGCCGACGCACCGTGCTGGCCCCCCCCCCTCGCGCGCGCGGCAGCACTTTCCTCCTGATCCTCGCGATCCCCCTCCCCCCCCCACGGTCGGCGAAGAGCGGCCCGCTCCTCCCCCCCCACGCCGCCCACCTCCTCGCGCTCCCCTGGAGGCCTCCTGCACGGGGTCTCGGAGCAGGTGGGGCCGAAGGCTCGTGCCGCACCGCCGATGCGCCTCCTGCGACGTCGGGGTGGAGAGAATCGGGCCCCGAGTCGCGCCGAGTCGCCGGTGCACCGGCGATGCGGGGTGATCCTCCGAGCCTTCCCATCCCCTGCCCCATCTGGGGGCGCTGGGTCATGGAGCGACTCGGACATGGGGCAGGCCCTGTCGGGTCACGACTGCCAGCGCCCCTCACCACGGAGCTCTTCCGGGCCCCCAAAACCGTGCGATGACGGACCGCGGCGACCTCGGAGTTCCCAACGACCTCACCGCGCGGTCTGTCACCGCACGCTCTTGGGACCTCAGGGGCCCCGGTCGGTCGAGACGTCCTCGGAGAGCGACGCGAGTCCCGGAACTGCGCTGTTGGCCCCGCATCCAGACTGACTCACCACGCGGTATGGTCAAGGCACACCGTGTGGGGCCACAGCCTGGCCCCAGTAGGCACCAGCAAGAACACGGGGCGACCCTCGGGGCCACTGGCTGGCCAACTGCTCACTGCAGCGACCTTGCAGACGTGCTGCAGCGGATTCTTGCGGGGATCTCTGTCAATGCAAAACCCCGAAACGGCAAGCGAAACAAAAAGTGAATTTCACGTGGGTTTCTTTTAGTCTTCATTCCTGGCCGAAAGAATCCGCACGAACTTCAATTCGAAATCGGGACCGAAATTCTCCAAGACAATCTGGGACCTCCCGATTGTTTTCCGAGCGAAATCTGCTCTGCAATGTTGGCGCCATGAAACGGCGGGCCCCGAGGGATCCAAGAAGGCCCAAAGCCGACTCCAAGTCATACCAAAACCACCCCAGTACAACCGCGCCCATGGGAACATCGAACATCGGATATCTGCCATAACCTGCGCAGTTGCGGCGAAGAGTGCGGGTGTGGGGTGGGGGCTCGTCGGCAGTCTGCGAGTCTTCCTGGACATTGCGCAGAAGAGCCGTCCGTGGGCGCAGATTTTCCCGTCAAAGCAACGTGGGTCGCGGGCGGGTCGCGGGTGGCTCGCGGGCGGGCCCTGGAAGAGGACGGCGACAACATAACAACGAGAAGAATCCGCACCCCGAAAGCCCACTTCGGCCACACACCCAGCTGACAATGTAAGACCGTTCGTCCCCCTCACTCTGACGTGTTCGGTCGACCTGCGCCTCCAGGTTCCTGTCCAAGGCGTTCCTTTGCATGCACTTCGCTTTCAGCACCGCCCGATCCCGGGGCTTTGCCCTCTCTCGGCCTTGACGTGAGGCCCTGCCTTCTTTTTCCTTCCTCTGTCAATTAAAGCTGTGCGCGGCCCGCTTAGCTTCGACCGGAAGAGGCTCGCTCTCGACCCGCGAATCAACAAGTTTGGTCGACCTGGGCCCCAGGAACCTCCCGAAAGCTCTGGGACCCCATGCCCAGAAACCGATGCGGCAACATGAGAGACGTGGTCCACCAGCAGACGAAGCCGAGGACGAGCCGAGCCGTCCCCGGGGCAGCCCAGGCACATCCCAAGACGAACCCCAGGCGGCGCCTGAAGGGCATCATTCCTCCCGATCCCTGTCATCTGGGACGCTCGTTGTAAATCCCCAGGGCCACTCGGGACCCCTCAAGGAACTCAGCCAGGTCGTTTGCAGTACCTAGCTTGCGCTCCCGTGCTTCACCTCGCACTCATTTCTCACACGGTTCGTGGAATATCTCTGGGAGTGTCTGTTTGACCGCCTCTGCAATCTCTCTTGAATAGCCTGAGACTTGCCATGCCCTTCTGCCTTCCATGCTACCAGGCAAGACACCACCTGTTGCCTCACATGAACTGGCTGTAACGGATGCTGTCTCTCGGGTGCAAACACGGCTGTGTGAAAACATATTCCATGTAGATGCCAGCCATGTTCGGAATCCACCAGTTCACCAGTGCCCCCCCTCAAACGCCAAATGCTCTCACCTTGTCATGGCCTGGTATTGCCAGAACTAGTGCTGGATATCCGGAGCTGATTGGTGTTCCTATGCACGCAGCTCTGCATGTCCATACAAACCTTGCAGTACCACAGCAATACCCAATACCCTTGATACTTTGAGCATGTTTTACGCATCCTTATCATTTGGGTTGTGGTCTGCCTCTGCTGTGCATGATGCAGAAGCGCAGGGCTCGCCTACTACTCATGTTTGAGGGTAGTGCCAGAAGAGAGTTCGCACGCATTGTGGACTGAGACTAGAGTCGCGAGCGCAGGAAGGCGCAAACCCATAAGCACGAACCAGCATCGCAATTGAATATTTTTGCGGGCATTCGCTTAGCCTACCACCAAGATCGGCGGAATTAATTGCGGTGATGGGCGGGGGGGGGTCTAAGGAAGGGGGCGAGCACATCCTCGTTCATGCCGCCCAAGAGACTGCTATTGGATGTTGTGAGACATTAATAACTCGTGCCTCCGTCCTTTCCCGGAGCATCTCATTCAAGTCTACCGTCGCGGCGCACCCATGGTGAGGATGCTTCGAACATCACTACGGTGATCAGACATCGGCCGCTTGTGGAAAGCAGCTCCAGACATTGGAAGACGCCTTCAAGACCTCAACCATCAGCACCAAGCAAGACGAAGCCAAAGGAAGGAGGGCGCAGGGACTCCTTGCCATCTAACACTTCGTACTCCTCGCCATCCACCTGGCAAAGCCAATCCAGACAAGATAAGGCTGATCACTCAGAGCCGAACACCTGTATCAGACAACGACTCTCTACGCGGTAGATCTAGCTCATGTACAGATGGATTTCAGTGGCTGTTTGGGAAACAGTGCAAGTGGGACGGACTCCACTATAATCCTTGCGTGCCAAGAAGACAACCCTGACACGTGTGATGCATGACCGAGTTCGCATGCGAAGAGCACACGCCCCCTGACCGAGCGGGGATTTAGACGATGGCGGACGGCAGGAAGATAACTATTCGCAGAGTTCCGAAACAAGCTGTGATGCTCAGAAACTTTGCTCTGCGAGCACCCCCCATGCCTCCCAACAGCTCAGGCCACCTTACGTCGCGCTTCCCGATCTCGCGCCGCCCCAAGCCCGAGAAACGCCACTGCCTGGGCCAGGAGTGCGCCCGCCGTGTGACGAGGGGGGGGGAGATCCAGACTCTCATGGGAACAAGGAACCCAGACATCTGGAAACATCAGTCGAGAGCATTGCCACAATCGACGGTGCTATCACGAATCGCTTGGCATGGTCTCACCAAAAACTGTTCGAATTGCTTCTGTCTGCACGACCGTGATGGGTACGGAACGGGTTTACACAACGTCCAACAACATAACCTTTCCGACATAACCAGAGAAAATGGGCAAGCTGACAAGGTAAGCTGAGAACTCACCAAGAACACCTGACAAGTGAACAAGAACACCTGCCAAACGGCGCAAATCAACTGACACATGGAACACGTGCCATGTCCCCGCTGAACAAAAACTGCGACTGGCCTAGATACCATTATTTTGTTGCCTCATCCGAGCGCCCAGGTTACCGAATCAATATTCGTTCCTGGAGTCTCAAGCAAGACGCAGTCCCGAAATCTGAAACGCACGGTAGGGGAACGAACAATGACATAAACAAAAAAACTCGGAAGTCCGCGCGGACTTGGATCGGCGCTGGACACCCCTGGCGGCGCCTCCGGCACCGCCCCTGGCGCGCCCCGCGCGCCAGGGAGGGCGGTCCGGCGCCGATCCGAGAAATCTACGCGGACCTCCGAGTTTTTATGTTTATGCCATTGTTCGTTGTCCTACAGTCGGGGCCTTGACCCAAGGAACCCAAAATAAGGAACGAGGCCCCTTTTTTTCCATGAAGTAAACTTCGATTTCCCATCGAAAACCTACGGAAAACAGAAGGCAAACTGTGAAATAAATAAGGAACACGGAGCCCCTCCCAAACGAGAAGGGTTCCTTCTTCAGCGACCCGACTGTAATCGGTTGGATATGAATGGCTCGTCTGCCACGAGAGGCGCGAGGAACGCTCCAGGAGCGAGGGCGCGAGGGCGGAGGGACGAAGCAGCAGTGGGGAGAAAGCACGAGGGCAACGACGCCGAGGCCGACGCGGAGGGACAGTCGAGCTTGGACGGGAAGGGCGAGGGAGGGAGAGGGAGGGAGGGAGGGAGGGAGAGGAGGAGAGGAGAGGAGGAGAGGAGAGGAAGAGAGGAGGGGAGAGAGGGAGGGAGGGAGGGAGAGGAGGAGAGGAGAGGAAGGAGAGGAGAGGAAGGAGAGGAGGAGGGGAGAGGAAGAGAGGAGGGGAGGAGAGGAAGAGAGGAGGAGAGGAGGGCAGAGATGACGGAGGACCCTCAAAAGAGGGCTGGAGGCACGCACGCTCTCCCACGCCGCAAAAACACCTCGACCCTCGCGCCTCGAGCCTCGACGAAGGCGACGGCGATCCTGCGGCGGCGTCGATGGCGGCGGCGGCGGCGACGACCCGCCCGTCGGAGCTCCTCGGAGGCCTCTGGGGGGGCGCCCGAAGCCGCGGGGGGCCCCCGGGAGGCCCCGACCTCCCAAGCCTGGCGTATCTTGCAGGGCGGGGCCCGTGGGCCTCTCTCGACAATTCTAAAACAGGGCTAGGATCGGGATAAATCGCTCCAGAGCGTTCCGGAGCGCTCTCAGAGCGTTCCGGAACGCTCTGGAGCGGCCGCGGCGCCCAATACATCCTCCAAACCCGCCGATTCTCAGAGATTTCGAGTTATCCCGATCCGATTTTGTCCCGATCTTCGCGTCGTTTGAAATTCCCCCTTGGGCCGCTTGTTTCGTCCCGTGGTGCCTTTGTTGGCGTTGGCGGCCCAGGAGCCGGGCAAGACTGCATCCAGAGGCCGACGACGCCGACAAAAAACTTCCGTCTCGATCTTCGTGAACACCTTTTGTTTTCCCCTGCGCGAGAGGTCGCCCCGTGGCTCTGGAGAGGAGGGGGGCAGCAGCAGGGGAGGGAGGAGGAGAAAGGGGGAAGGCAGCAGCAAAAGCAGCCAGCGCAAACGCGGCCAAGCCACGCCTCAGCGCGCCCCAGGTTTGCGGGGCGGCGACACGGTTCTTGGATCACCGGGGGGGTGCTACAGAGATAGGCGGATTATAAATGCATCGCGTCCATCTGTAACCCCGTATCCCGCATGATCCAATAATAACCACCTAGTCGCATCATCCTATTCTAACACCTTGTCCCCTCGCCCCCCTCCCCCGCGGTGGGTGATCCAAGTACAACTCACCTTAACATCCACGTATATTCCTTCCTATCCCTCAGCACACCCCGTGGCGATTCAAGCACAACCCACCGTGGCATCCAATTGTAACATCATCTGACCGTGGCATGAAATTGTAACCCCACCTGACCCTTTCAAGGACCCCGCGGAGATCCAAATATAACAAGTTTTTCATTAACGTGCAACCCCCTATCCCCTTAGCACTCCCCAAGGTGCCCCAAGTAGAACCCACCTTAGCATCCATTCATAACCCTTCAAATCCACTCAGCACCCCTGGAGGTGATTCAGGCACAACCTACCTTAGCATCCCTTGTAGCCCCCCTTTACCCTCTCAGCGACCCACGCGGTGATCCACGTATAACTCACATTATCGAGGACAAAGCAAGAATGATGTCATGATACGAGTGGCTCAGGGTGCACTCCAGGAATTCCGGAGTAACTAGCGGCCATCGTTTATGCAGCCTGTGTGGAACATTAAGAACTCCAGGAGGACCTGGAAATCGTGCAATGTATAGGTGTCATTGCATTGTGCCCTGAGTACGTACAGTCCACATATTATATCCCCTATATCCACTTAGCATCCCCCGCGGTGATCCAAGTGGCGGTATCAAAGAGGCAATCACGAAAACGCGCAAACGCACCCGAACACCTTGACCGTCAAGACCCTCGGTCGGCGGCGGTGGCGGCGGCGACCGACACCGGGCCTGGATCTCCTCGCGCAGGTCGCCGAGGGCGCTGTGGTTTACCCAGACGAGGGCGCCCCCCTCCTGGGATCCGCCACGGGGAGAAGGAGGGAAGGGGAGGATGGGAAGGGCTCGGAGCATACACCACTAGAACCACGCGCGCGCTTCGCGCGCGCTTAGGTTCTGTCGAGTCACAGACCCAGGAACCGTTGTGAGAAGAAATTGGTGACGCGAAGCGTCGTGGGGGCGTCCTTGGACGTCTGGGGTCTCCTGGGGCCTCTTGAGGGGCCTCCTGGGGGCCTCTTGGCGGCCTCTTGGGGCGGAAGGCTCGAGCTTGCGGTTCGTGGTCCCCCTCTGGGCCCCCTCTTGGGCCCGTCTTGGGGCCCTCTTGGGCCATCTTGGGCGCCTCTTGGGCCGTCTTGGGGCCCTCTTGGGCTGTCCTTGGGCCTCCTCTGGGCCTCTTGGGGGTCTCCTGGGGCCTCTTGAGGGGCCTCCTGATGGCCTCCTGGCGGCCTCTTGGGGCGGAAGGCTCGAGCTTGCGGTTCGTGGTCCCCCTCTGGGCCCCCTCTTGGGCCCGTCTTGGGGCCCTCTTGGGCCATCTTGGGCGCCTCTTGGGCCGTCTTGGGGCCCTCTTGGGCTGTCCTGGGGCCCTCTTGGAAGCTTCTTGGGCCGTCTTGGGGCGGTCTTGGGCGCCTCTTGGGCCGTCCTGTAACGTCGGAAAGCCCAAAAGACAACTTTGTTGAAAATGTACGTTTTACGAAGGGAATGGGCCAATTTTGCGTCTAGGGGCCCTCTTGGGACGCATGTTGGAGGCTTCTTGGGGCCTCTTGGGGGCGTCCTTGGACGTCTGGGGTCTCCTGGGGCCTCTTGAGGGGCCTCCTGGGGGCCTCCTGGCGGCCTCTTGGGGCGGAAGGCTCGAGCTTGCGGTTCGTGGTCCCCCTCTGGGCCCCCTCTTGGGCCCGTCTTGGGGCCCTCTTGGGCCATCTTGGGCGCCTCTTGGGCCGTCTTGGGGCCCTCTTGGGCTGTCCTGGGGCCCTCTGGGAAACTTCTTGGGCCGTCTTGGGGCGGTCTTGGGCGCCTCTTGGGCCGTCCTGTAACGTCGGAAACCCAAAAGACAACTTTGTTGAAAATGTACGTTTTACGAAGGGAATGGGCCAATTCTTGCGTCTAGGGGCCCTCTTGGGACGCATGTTGGAGGCTTCTTGGGGCCTCTTGGGGGCGTCCTTGGACGTCTGGGGTCTCCTGGGGCCTCTTGAGGGGCCTCCTGGGGGCCTCCTGGCGGCCTCTTGGGGCGGAAGGCTCGAGCTTGCGGTTCGTGGTCCCCCTCTGGGCCCCCTCTTGGGCCCGTCTTGGGGCCCTCTTGGGCCATCTTGGGCGCCTCTTGGGCCGTCTTGGGGCCCTCTTGGGCTGTCCTGGGGCCCTCTTGGAAGCTTCTTGGGCCGTCTTGGGGCGGTCTTGGGCGCCTCTTGGGCCGTCCTGTAACGTCGGAAAGCCCAAAAGACAACTTTGTTGAAAATGTACGTTTTACGAAGGGAATGGGCCAATTTTTGCGTCTAGGGGCCCTCTTGGGACGCATGTTGGAGGCTTCTTGGGGCCTCTTGGGGGCGTCCTTGGACGTCTGGAGGCCATCTTCAGCATCTCGGAGCCCTCTTGGAGGCCTCTTGGAAGTTTCTTGGGCCGTCTTGGGCGCTTCTTGGGCCGTCTTGTCTGACTGGGGAGGCCTCCGGCAAGCCCCGACGAGCCTCCGGGCCCCCCGGGGCGCACATTTGTGGTCGAGGTCCCGGCCCCGGGCCCCCGGACCCGGTGCGCCGTTATATGTATTTGTCGTCTAATCGGCCAGAGAGCTCGTTGCATAGAAGCCTCAGCTTCCCAGGCTGGACGATACGCTGGAGCGCAGCAGCGCCGAGCACCTTCGCCGAGTCCCTTGGCAAGCTTTGAGCCTTACGCAGACAGGGCGACAAAGACTTCTCCTCACAACTGCACCCAGGCCTCCCTGGCGCGGGATGCACTTCTTGCACGCGTCGAGGCCTTCCTGTCTCCCGCAGGACATCCGCCGACGAAGAAACCGAGGCCTCCGACGAATATTGAGAGGCTGCTCGATCCCAGAGCCCCCCTGCCCAGACGCATTCGCCCCTGCCTGCGGACGACGAGCCAGAGGAACAGCGGGAGGAGGAGGAGGAGGAGGAGGAGGAGGAGGAGGAGGAGGAGGAGGAGGAGGAGGAGGAGGAGGGAGAGGAGGAGGAGGAGGAGGAGGAGGGAGAGAAGGAGGAGGAGAAGGAGGAGAAGGAGGAGGAGGAGGAGGAGAAGGAGGAGGAGGAGGAGGGAGGGGGAGGAGGAGGAGGAGGAGGTAGACGACTCCCGAGGGAGGGGAAAGGAGAAGGAGGTCCCGCCCCACCCCCACAACGAACACCCGAGGGAGGTGCCCGCAGCGGTGGAGGTGGGCCCACACAGTGCCCGCGCCGCCGGCGCGCATCCGAGGCTGGCCTCACGCCCCAGAGGGTGCCTCAGATTCAGAACACTTGCCCCCGACAGCGTTGGCGCTGGCCCGGGCAGCATCGAGGGCGTACGCCTCGCGTCCGAGCTCTTCCGCCCTAGCGCGCGAACGAAAACCGAAGGCCCATAAGGCATCGCTTAGGGCCATTCGGGGGTATTCACTGCCCCACCGCATCGGTTGGTCTAGGGCCGCGCGGCGCGCGTCAGGCACCCTCGTTGCCTGCGTCACGTCGGGCCCAGAGAAATGCTCCCTCCACTGCGCGCGCAGCCCCGCTGATGGCCCAGCCAATTCGCCTATGCGGGCGCGCCACGCGTTGTGGGGATGAACGCCTCTCTCGGCCCTGCTGCGTATGCTCTGCGCCCGGGGGGGGCGACCTCCCGCGTGCGAGCATTCTGCCTTGAGACCACGGCCGACTCCTGGGCACGTGGCGTGCCCAAAGCAACGCGTACAAATCAGAACATGCGAGCTCGCTCCCTTTGGGCCCTGCGCCGGTTGCTCCCATTCGAGCACTGGTGCTGTTAAAAGGGAGTGGCCCTGCACCCGCCATGGTCCTCGAGACGGGCCGCCAGCCTCGTCGAGGTCCCCTGGGGGCACAGCAGGCCGGTCATGAGTGTCCCCGCCGTCCCCCTCACCGTCACTCCCCGACACAGGCCAGATCGCTTCCACGACAACCGTGCGTGCGGCCTCGAGCCCCTGATGGTCTCGAACCCCCGAGGCAGAGAGCACGGCCTCCAGCCTACCTGTGAACCGCGTGAGGCGCCGAGCAATTTCTAGGCACCCTCGCAGGAGGTTTCTGTCTTCCTCCCGAAGGCGGCGCAGCGACGCTCCTCTCTTAGCTACCTGATCGGCGGCATGATTGCCGTCCCTCTGCCATGCCGTGATGCGGCCCTCGACGACGTCGTCCCACGTCGAGTGAGCCTTAACCTTACAAACAAAAAAAAAACATCATCGAGGGCGCCGCCACCAGCGGCCTGCTGCCACAGGTGCGCGCGAGCCTCGGAAGGGCCCTGCGCGCAAGCTAAATTCTGCCCACAAGACACCGTGCCCTGATAGTTAACATGCATTGTGTACCTACCGGCCACGTGCCGAGACGCCATTAGAACGGCATAGTCTTCGCCATCCCGCGCGCTCTGTCCTGGGCAGAGCTCGCGCGGGACGGCCCCGTACAACTTGCCAACGGCCTAAATTGAGCATCGAATGCGGCGAGGCCCCACCCCGCCGAACGAAGCGTAGGCCATTCGGCGTCAAAACACGCTCCATCTGGGAACACGTGCCCCCCATCCAGCATGAGACCTGTCGCTGGCCAAGCTTCCGCTCGAAGCTCCGCTCCTGGAGGGAGGGGGAAACGACGGAGGCAGAGGGATGGGTCGGGCAACAGAGCGCGAGCGAACCTCTCCCCCGGCTCCCGGCCCCCCTCCCGCGCGACATCGGCCGCCTCGGCCAGATCAGCATCGAGATTGCCGGCCCTCCAGGCCCGGTGGGCCGGACACCGAAAAAATCTGTGATGGAGCGTGCCAGCCTCTTCCCGGCAACACTGGCACAAATCCGAAAGCCCCAGCCCGCCCTCCACCCTCGCGAGTCGATCCTGGCACCAATGCGTTCCAAGAAGCAGGCCGCGCTGCGAACGCTTGTGGTGGACTGTCCACCCCTGGCTGGGGGGGGCAAAAAACAACTCGTTGAGCGGCCGCCAGAAGACCGGCCCAATCCATGCCCGTTGTCCTGGTTGCAGGATGCGCCGCATGGCGTTTACATCCGAAGCAGTTCGGCACGCGTGCTTCACCTTTTCACTAGAAAATGCGGGCAAAAAAACTCGAGCGTCCCACTTCTGGCTAAGCTCGTCGACGATCACGAAGGGGGAGGCGAGGCTCCAGCCGACGCGCGAGAGGGTCAGCACCAGCGCCGCGACGGGGTCCTTGACCTTGGACCACGCCGCCCTTCCGTCCGCAATCACACGCGCGCCGTCCAGCAGGGTCTGCAGGAGCGCCTCCGTGAACACCCCCTGCCAAACCATCTCCACGTAGGTCTTGATCGCGAGCGACGTGGTGAGGACGAGCGGGTCGCGCCTCCAGCCTGCCTTCCAGCTGGAGACCGCGAGGCCGAGGGAGGCCCCGCGGGCCAAGCGCCCCTCGGCCCTCAGCGCAGCCAGTCGCAACCCCTTCAGCTTGCCATTGGGGACGCCATGTATGGCCGAGCCCCACACGCCCACGGCACTGGGCCCCGCGCGGTGGACAGCGCCTACGGCTGCCCCAGCCTGCCGCAGAACCTGCAGGCGGGCAGCGCGAGCCTGGCTCTCGACGAATCGCGCGTGCTGGGTGCCGACGCGTCGCAGCCTGCCCGCCGTGGCGTCGCCGCCCAAGTCCCGGTGCACGTGGGACCGCTGCTCCATGGTGAGCTCCCATACCTCGCACAGCCCCCGCGCCAGCTCCGTCGAGCTCGCGAGGAAGCCCGTCTTCTTCTCGGCGATCAGCAGGTCCAGGGCAGCGACCGCCTCGCGCAGATAGCCATAGCTGCGCGCGAGCTGCGTCGTGACGGTCCGGATGCCGCCAACCGCGTGCATCGAGATGTCGTCGATGACGTTCTTGATGCTCACGATGGGCCCAAGCAGCGACGCGCGCTTGACCACTGCCAAGAAAATCAGCCTCGGCAGCGAAGTCGCGCATGAACATCCGGCAATGGCGCCGCCGTTGGCCTCCATCTCTGCAGAGATGGCCCCCTGCAGCATCGCGCGCCGCGGGGCGCGGTAGGTGCAGAGCAAGGCCCGCAGCAACCAGCAGCTGAACCCTGCGTGCGCCGCCGCGTGCCTCAAGGCCTCGTGCCCGAGGTGCTCGTAGAACCGCGACATGTCCGCGAGGAGGAGGAGGAGGAGGAGGAGGAGGAGGACGAGGAGGAGGAGGAGGAGGATGGGATTGGGGCGGGGGAAAGCCTCAGATGTGGCCGTCGTGCCTGCCGGCCCCCTGGCCCTCGAGAGCGCGCCCCGAGGCGGGCCAGCGGCACCCAACCCTGGTCCTCTGTGAACGCACGAGCACCGCCCCACGCCCCCCACATGAGGAACTTTAGACCAACTACAGTCGAGGCGTTGACCTAAGGAACCCTAAATAAGGAACGAGGCTCCTTTTCTTCAGACGTTAACCTTCGACTTCACATCGAAAACTTAAGGAAAACCTTGGGCAAGGTGTGGAACAATCAAGGAACGCCGAGCCCCTCCCCAATTAAAAGGGTTCCTTCTTCAGCGCCCCGACTGTAGACCGCGCGCGCCGAATTGCACCACGTGGACACGTGAAGTCCATTGTTGTGGGGGCTAGGGTCGGTTACCCACTGTGCACTCTGCAGTTTCCTCACGACCAGTCTGAACACATCCACGCCGAGCGCAGGCCAAAGAAGCTCTCAGGGCTCCACGACATACAGCATGCGGTTTATAGCAACGCGGCGTCGCTGTACTTGTTCTGCTGACGCAATCGTCTGCCGAAGCACAGCCCCGCAAGGGGTCATAGCCGGTCCCACGAGAGCCTCCAAACGCAGCTCGCCCCCCCATGGTCAACACATGACACCACACATAGCGCCGTTGTGCCGAAGCACATCGAAGCGGGCGCAAGAACAGAAACTGGCAAAAGGAGAAACTCTCGGAGGTCCGCGCGAATTTCATGGGTCGGCGCTAGACACCCTGCCCAGGGGCGCGGAGCGCGCCAAGGGCGGCACGGGAGGCGCCGCCACGGAACCCAGCGCCGATCCAAAAAGTCCGCGCGGACCTCCAACAATCTATGCTTGTGCAGTTGTTTCTTATTCGAAGTGGGGCCAGAAAGCCTGCGGTCGGGTCTCTCTCTCTCTCTCTTTTGTTCCGCCTCTGCTCGGGCGTTGGCAGAACTGGGTTTAGTGGGACCTGGTTTAGTGATGTGTACTGGGGGACGCCCACCCCGCCCCGTTCCACTAAGCGGAACTGCTGTCACCAGAAAAAACACAAGCTACGGTAGACCTGGTTTAGTGATTCTGGCCAACTCTGGTGCTCTGGGGCCCCACCACTAACCGGGTCCCCATACCTGGGGTCCTGGCTGTACCCGATCTGCGCCCCTCCGAACCTTCCCTGCCTGCACTTGCAGTTCCCCCCCAAGGACCAACAGGGAGGGCGGGCACGCGGGGGCGCATCCTCCTCGAAGTCCCAAGACGGCCTGGGCGAGCACAGAGGCGGCAAACCACGGTGACTGCGGACGCCCTCCTCTCCTTCAAGCGCTACATCGCGCACAGCTTGACGGACTGATCGCTGAGGTTGGAGGAGGAGGGGGAGGGGGAGGGTGAGGAGGAACAGGAGGAGGAGGAGAGGGAGGAGGAGGAGGAGGAGGAGGAGGAGGAGGAGGAGGAGGAGGCGGAGGAGGAGGATGGCCAAGTGGTTGCAAAAGGCGAGGCCTGCACTTTACATGTGGCCACCCATCCAGAAGGCAAAGGCCTCTCTTGTCGTCGCCGTGCTGCGGTCTTCGTGCTTTCTTTCCGCGGGGTACGCCTAAGGCGACCGAGCTCCCCAGAACTCCACAAAGCGGCCTGCATGGGTCCAAGTCGAGTGGATCCATGAAAAAGCTCACAAACAGCCCGAAACCTCCACGCCCGAGCGACCACCACCTCTCCTAGGCCTTCTTGCACCGATCAAACATAGAAGCACTGGCTGCCCCGCCTCCCTGCTCCCATTCTCACTGTGTCTGTCAATTCCTCCATCTACTCCTCCACCCCATGCTCGCGCATTCGTCCATCTACTCGATGCCCACCATGCCTCACAAAAATCCGAAACATGTTCCCGCATTACATCGCTCAAGTTCCGCGCTCTGAGAACATACATATAAATTCGCCGACCCAACGGGCCAGGGCGTGCTAAGATCTCCGGTAACTGGTTAACAGTATTAAAAGTATTTCTTGTTCGCGCGCGCGGGGCGGCCCCTGGGGGTCCCCCGGCGAAAAGTACCCCGACCAACGCCCGGTCGCCGCCCGGTCGCCGCCCGACCGCCGCCCGACCGCCGCCCGACCGCCGCCCGACCAAGTCTACTCAGAGATGGTTTTCCTTCTGGGTGCGGCCTCTCAGGCTCCCCAGAGCGCGCTCAGAGTGCCCCAAGAGGCCCCCAAGACTGCCCAAGAGGCCCCCGAGACGCCCAAAGAGCGCTCGAAGACGCCGAAGATGACCCCAAGACGGCCCAAAAGGCCCCCAAGACAGCCCAAGAGGCCTCCAAGACGCCCCAAGAGCCTTCCAAGAGGCCTCCGAAGAGAGCCCCAAGAGGCCAAATCGTTGATTTTCATTTGTTTTTTCGATGTTTTTTGTGTTCTGGCTTTTTCGGCTTCCGGACGCTCCAAGACGGCCCAAGAGGCCCCCAAGACCGCTCCAAGACGGCCCACGAAGCTCCCAAGACGGCGCCGAAACGACCCAAGAGAGCCCTCAAGACGGCCCAAGTGCCGCCCAAGACGGACCAAGAGGCCCCAAGACGGGCCCAAGAGGGACTCAGGAGGGATACCGAGAACTCAAAAATGGAGCCCTCCGTCCCAGAAGGCGCCCAGGAGGTCCCAAAGAGGCCCCAAGAGGCCTCCAAGAGGCCCCAAGATGTCGCCAAGAGGCCCCAGGAGACTCCCAGGAGGCCCAAAAGAAGCCCCAGAAGGCTTCAAACATGTCTCCCAGGCGCCCCCGAACGGCCTCTCAACAGACCCCAAGAGGCCCCCCAAAGAAGCATCTTGACGACGACTCTATTTCGCCCCATCGAGAGACGACCCCCAGGGAACTGCTTCACCATCAAAACTCCCCACGCAACGCGTCCGAACGACACCCGCCCCCAAGAGCGCAACATGGGCAACGAACACACAGACAAAAACCAGCGATGCCATATCACGGGCCGGCGGAATGAGCGAAGCGATTCAATATCGTTAAGAGCACGCATCATCAACCATTCCCGGAGAGAGCAGCTGCTGTGTGAGAGTCGAAGTGACACGCGGTCCATATGGGAGACCTGTCGAGGTCCAATTCGTGTGTGAAGAGATGCCACAAGGGACGCGACAACTTCAGAGTCTGAGGGTGGAGCGGAATCTGCAACACGCTCTGTTCGGGTGTTGCTAGAAGTGCCCCTGGCCAAAGGTGCCCCCAGGATTCTCGGGGTGGTCCAGATGGCCTCCAGAGCACCCCTCACGAGGCCCTGATGGCCCCAGGGGCTCCAAGACAGAGCGAGAAGCTGGGAGCACCTTGGTCCAGGGGCACCTCTGGCAACACCCGATCTGTGGCAGTGGAGGAGCAGAAGGTGCAACCCGTCTGGAGGACATCTGGCTGAGAGCAAGCAAACTCGAAGCGAGCAAATCAAACTAATCGTGCAAGCGAGCCAGGGCGCTGCAGAAGCAGCCACGCGCTTGACCTTGCCGACGCCCATACCTGCACTCGCGTAGGGCAGCGGGGGACAGAACTACTCGGGATTTTACACTGCGTTCAACCCTGTGCGTCGCATCAGGTGCAGCAGGGATGCCGAGTCCTGTGCAAATCTTGCAGCGAGCTCCGCTAACCCACAGCAGGCCCGATAGTCAAGAGGTATCTTGTCGGTCGAATGGGAGCCAAGATGCGTGAAGACATGCCCTGCTTCCGAGGAGTCCCGGAGATGGCATAGTGAGCGTTTCTTGATTCGGCGTTTCGACATTGGAGAGGTCTGGCTCCGGACCTCTGCTTAGTGCGGCTGCTTGCAGCAGTGCGTCCTCTGGGGGAGTCTCCACCTGCGTGATACAGGTGCCAAAACACAGCCAAGATCTACTCCATAGGGGAGGGGAGGGGGGGGTGGGGGCCAACGCCGATCGGCAAAACAACGAATAAAGAAACGATCACATACCCAGACACCTCCTCATGATTGCTTCAAACATCTGCGCCCCCAGAGCTCCCGACCCCTTCCCCGTTCGGTAGTGTTGCGCCCGGGGTCACATGTTTTTGTTGTCCTGGGCCAGCCCGCGGCCCCCGAAGGCCGAAATGAAGGACGGCCATGAGACCAAAACAAGCAGATTGTGAAGAGACCCATGCCAAGAAACACCCTGTTTGCCTCCAGGGTGCCCTGGCATACCCAGACACCTCCTCATGATTGCTTCAAACATCTGCGCCCCCAGAGCTCCCGACCCCTTCCCCGTCGGGTAGTGTTGCGCCCGGGGTCTCATGTTTTTGTTATCCTGGCCCCGACCGCGGCCCCCGAAGGCCGAAGTGAAGGAAAACCATGATACCCAAACAAGCATACAGGGGGGCCCGAGCTCAAGAAACCCTCGACAAGGAACCCAACCCTGAGATCCCAGGACGTCCCTTGATTTTTGGCGTTGGAGCGCCACGCTCTCCATCGAAACCCAAGAAACCCAGGGCGCCCTGGAGGCAGGCAGGGTGTTTCTTGGAAAGGGTCTCCACTGTATATCGTCCAAGATCTGCGAACATTTCGATGCGATGGGCACGCTGCCCTCCTTCCCCCGTCTGGTCCCGCACCTTCTCCTCGACCTGCCTTCCCCTCCTCCCAGGGCTGGACCTAAACGTTGTGTGTTCGTTTTGTTTTCGTGTTGCTCTACCTTTTTTCCTGCACCTCACTGCCAGGACGAACAGCAAAACACAGCCGAATGCCAGCAAAACAGCGTTTAGGTCAAGCCCTGCCTCCTCCTTTCCCTGCAGGGCCCGAAGAACGGAATCCCGATGCCGAGAGGACGAGAAAACCGACCGTCGTGCACTTGCTTCGATGATCCTCAGAACGTGTGTTAGCGCTCACGTGTGTTTGTCCACCGAGGCTGTTCCATCCGACGCGGGTCATGTAATCATCTACGGGTGGGGCTGAACGGTGTAAGCACACATTGGCCTCATACACGTCTTGAGGATCATCGATTGCTTTACGCCACGCCTGCTGGTCTCCGTCCCCGCCGGTTTTTTACCGGAAACCGCAGTGGGAACATAGTTGCCGAACGCTCCCCCTCCCCCCCAAACTCAGAGCTGGCACGCGCGGAGGAGACTGCGGTCGAAGTGCAACTAATGAGACCCACCGCCAACTTTGAATATTGGGGGAGGGGGACGCGTTGACAAATGAGCGACGATCAAAAACGGGTCTTACGCGGGATGGCACAGCGACTCTACGCGATGGCTTACGCGGGCCGCCAGCGCGGGAAACCATAATGGAGGAGAGGGTGCTTACGCGCGACTTTACGCGGGCAGCTTCCGCGCGAATGCCGGCGCAGTCGAGCCCGTTTTTTCTTCCGCCGCTCAAATGAATGTGCGGCCTGAATCAGGGCCTGAATCAATCGGCGACAGAGAGAGAGCGAGAACAGGAGGGGAGGAGGAGAACTGCTCCGTCTCCTCCTCCACGCCCCCCAGGGACGATGCGCCAGGCAGGAAGACTGGTGAAACACACAGATACTCCATATGATTGAGTGTGAAGGAGTTGGTAAGGAACCCTTGCGAAAACATAGATATTCAATGTGTTTGAAGGGGCAAACCTTGAACAAACACAGCCATGTCGTACGTGCTGATGTTTTCTGGCGACGGGCGCCCCTCCTCCTCCTCCTCCTCCTCCTCCTCCTCCTCCTTCTCCTCTTCCTCCTGCTCCCCAATCTCCTTGCAACGCGTCCGTAGCCAGAAAATATTTACACGTAATCTGTGTGCGTGCGTGTGTGCACAGGGCTTCTTTGCCAAAACCCAGAACTTAAATGGAATATCTGTGTTTCCAAAGGATTTCTTAAAGCCTTGACCGGTATTTGGAACATCTGTGCTTTCAGAGGATGCCCTTCAGATGCCAGCCCATGTGCCGAGTTCCAAAAGGAAATCCTTTTGCGAGGCCGCCCATGGCGTGCTCGCCATATGGTTCCCCCCTGGAGTCCTGTGAGGCCTACTCCACCCCTCCTTCTCCTCACTCCTGCCTCTCCTACCCACTCATTTCCTGCGTCAAGGAGCTGGTGTTGGAGCTGCGGTATGAACTGTAAAAAGGAGGTGTTGCATTGATCGTGGTCGGAACTGCAGTGAAAGCTGTCGCGGGAGCAGCTGTTACTGGGTGTCGCAGGAGCTGTTCGGCTGGCTTCTGTAGGATCTGCAATTGGGGGGCAGGCGCAAGAGCTGCACTGGGATCCGTACGAGTGGTTGCAATAGCGGCTGCAACTTGAGCTGTACGAGTGGCTGTGTCAAGAAACTGTAGTACGAGCTGCAATCATACAACCAGTTTACGTTGTAGTAGGAGCTCGCTTCACTAGGAACTGCACGTGGAGCTGCAGTGGGAGATGTGCTGAGATCCGTATTGGAAAATGTACCATTTGTTGTCTATGCTTAGTCAGGGCTTTCGGATGATCAGTGCTGGAAGCGTGCGCAGGATCTATACTGGTTGTGGGAGGCGCAACAAGAGCTGCACTGGGACATGGAATGGGATATGCATCATAAGCTGTAGTCAGGGCTGCAGGAGCTGTAGTGACAATTGTGCTAGTGGCTTACATGGGAATTCTAGGAGCTGTAATCGGAATTTTGATCGGAGCTCCAGTGAACGATGAAGAGGGAACTGCCGCACGAATTGCCGTCGGAGCTGTAGCGGGAGCTGTTTTCCTGGCTGCAACAGGAATTGCAGTGAGGCTTGTCGTGAAATCTGTAGTAGCGCTGTAGATGAAAGCCGTGCGAGCTGGACTAAGATGTGTGGTATGAGCTGTAATGAGAGCTGCGCGAACCGTAGAACTGGCTGGAATATGAACTGCAATAGGAACTCGACTATGACCGGTGCTGGAGACTGGAATTGCACCAGTGACCAGATTCTTGGCGGGAGCTGTCGCAAGACCTGCTGTAATAAGTGTAGCGAGGGCTGTGGGGACGCGGTCCTACTGGTTGCACTCGGAAATGAAGCATGGCACCTTCTAAGACATTAAGAGGGAAGTTTGCGTCAAGAGCTGCAGCGAGAACCGTACTGCTGGCTCTAGAAGTGGGTTGCGATGAGAGCTTGGCGATTGGCTCTGTCATGGTACTGTAGTAGGAGCTGTGATAATATGTGCTGTACTCTCTGTGATAAGACCTGTAGTGGGAGCTGTATGACTTGTGATGTAGAAGAAATTGCAATCCGAGCTGCGGTCGGGGGTGCACTAAGGGATAACGTATAAACCGTCATGGGAGCTGTGTTGAGAATTGCATTGGGAACTGCACTAGTTTCTGTAGTCGGATATGCACTAGGACCTGTAGCAGAACGTGCAGCAGGAGCTGTTGCAGGAATTGTAGGAAGATCTGTAGTGAGACCTGTACTGCTGGCTGTTTTAGGGAGTTTCGTATGGTTTCAGATGGAACTGTACTAACCATCTGCAGTAGTAGAAAATGCTGTCGGGGCTGCAGCAGCATGAACGTAACAATATTGACGTAGAAGTTGCAGCGAGAGCTGCGCGGTTGGATGCAGTGGAACTCGCTGTGGAGCTGCAGTCAGGGATGTGGTAGAGCTGCAATAGACGTTGTAGCAAACACTGCATCAATCGGAGACGCTTTCTCGGGCCACGATTCGGGCCGCCGGTGGCCCTTCGGGACGGACCCGGGCACCCTCGGAACGCCCTCGGCGAGGCGCAGCTGCTGGAAGGCATCCCGAGGATGGAACGCCGACGAGGGCTCACGAACACGTCCGAGAAACCTCCCACACCGCTGGCCAGTCCCCCGTCCCCATACGGTCGAACCCGGGGCAGAAGAGTGTCCTTCCGCCCTCCGAGAGCACGAGGCCCTCCGCCGGCCCAGCCTGGAGAACATGCGAGGGCGCCCTCCCCCGGCCCTGCCCAGGATGCACGAGAGCATCCCACATTGAGGGATGAAAAACGACCCTGCCCTGGATTACAAGTGCGTGGTCTGTAAACCTCCTGGGAGACCCCAAAGCCTAGAGCCGCCAGGACGCGGCACATCACGCAGGGTTTACCCTGTCAGCCCACAGGAGTTTCAGAGCACATCGCCTCGTAAACCAGGGTAGGGTTTTTTTTTCTGCCCTTGACCACAGGCACGAAGAACATCAGGGTGACCCCATGCCCCCGATACGAATCCCTGGGGGATCGTAAAGCTCGGAGTCCTGGAGATAGCATGTGTCTCGTCCCAGCAGCTCGCAGGTGTAGAGGTGGGGCTAGAGAGTTGTTCTCGGGAGCCTCGGAACTCGACTGGCCCTGCCGCACGTTCGTGGCCTGGGAGAAGCTGGAACGATGAGAACCCCAGGGCGCTGCCAAACGTTCGTGACTTAGGAGAGCTGACGTGGTGAGAACCTTCGGGCCTTTGCCACGCGCTCGTACCTCGCGATCCTCATACCTCGGTCCGACCCTACAGCGTCATCTGACTCACCTCCCCCCTCGGGCGGCCAGCAGACCCCGCAGGAACTCCTCCAGGCCCCACGTGTCCACGCACGCCCAATGACCCTCGTGGGGCGGCACGGGGGCGGGGGCGCCGCAGGAGCGAGCGGCCCGCCTGGAGGCCTCGAGAGTTCCTCCTCCTCCTCCTCCTCCTCCTCCTCCTCCTCCTCCTCCTCCTCGATGGTGAGGAGGCACACTCCTGGACAGGGCGGGGCACGCGAGCCCCTCGCTTGGCGGTGCATGGGCGACTGGAAAAAAGGGCCCGGGGGCACAGCAATACGTAGACGCGAAATCCCGAAGCTTCTAAGAGGCTCCCAAGAGGCCTCCAAGCTGCTAGGGCCCCCCAAACTGCCCCCAGAGGCCTCCGATAGCGCTCCGCAGAGACCCCAAACAGAATCCCTGAGGACTCTGACCCACGTCAGCATCGTCGTCGTCGTCGTCGTCGTCGTAATCGTCGTCGTCGTCGTCGTCCCCCTTCAGGGTCGGCGGCACCGGCCGTAAGGCCATCTCAATCGATCTGTATCACAGGGTTCCCGATACCTTTCAATATGTTCTAGATGTTCGTCCTCCCCTTCACTTCACAAGCAGGGACTGGCCGTCCCGGCATTCCTATATGCCTACCACGACATGTTCTTAAGCCAAAGAGAGTTTTACTAATAAAACAGTGCTCTTAGAACATGAGCCCGATGTGTTAAAACAGGACAACCTCAGCCAGACATGTTATAATAACATTTCGTGCAGACCATAGAAGGATCCTACAGTTAGATGAACAATTTGGTAGTGGAAACCCTGACCGAGCGGGACATGGGTTAGCGGCGATTGGGGCTTGGAAGAATTATCCCTCCTAAAAAACGTTGGTGCTGGAGTCGACGCCGTGGGCTGCTGGAACCGACTTTCCTCGTAGAGAACGGGGTGCTGGAACCGATCTGTCTTGTAGACATGAGCTGCTGGAAACACTGTCCCTCGAACAGATTGCGTGCTGGAGCCGACGCGTGGCCTGCTGGAACCGCCTTCCCTCGTAAAAATCGGCTGCTGGAGCCGACCTGTCTTGTAGGCATGAGCTGCTGGAGCCACTTTCCCCTGTGACGAATAAGCGCTGGAGCTACACCCCGCTTACGATTATAAAAATCCGCCGGCCCTGTGTCGACGTGTGTGAGGGGGTTGTCCGTTCCCATCGTTCGTTCGTCGTCGTGTCCGTCGTCTCGGGTCCCTGCGCCCACCCTTTCCCTGGGCCAGTCGTCTCCTGTCCCTGCGCTCCCCCTTACCCTGGGCCCGTCTCCCCTCCTCCCCGTTCCCCCTCTTTCCTGGGCCCGTCGCCGCTTTCCCCCCGCTTGTCCAGGGCTCCCCCCTCAAGAGCAACGTTGGTCATTGAGTCGAAGGGAAGCCCCTTCCCTTTGACCCCTGCCCTGCGGGGGGGGTCCCGGTGGGGATCCCGCGTCAGATACGACTCCCCCCCTGGGGGTCCCGGGGCCCACACAAAAGCCTCAGACGAGCCAAGAGACGAGGCATTCTACCACGCCCTCTCCTCCCTCCCCCCTCCTCCCTCCATCCTCATTTCTCTTCTCCTGGACGCTCGGCCACGGGACACCCCAGGACCCAGAATTCCGAGGTTCCCGAGACTCTCCAGGACCCAGCCCCGAGGACCTCCTCCCAGGACACCTCACCAGGAACCAGCCCCACAAAAAGTCCAGGACTCCCAGGCCCCAGGCCCCAAGACCCCAGGACCACTCCTGCACCATGCGGCCCTGCTCGCCTCGTCCTGCTCCTATGTATCAATTTCCTCACTCTCCTCCTCCTCCTTCTCCTCCTCCTCCTCATCCTCCTCCTCGTCCTCCTTCTCCTCCTCCTCGTCCTCCTCGTCCTCCTCGTCCTCCTCCTCCTCCTCCTCCTCCTCCTGTTCCCCTCCTCCTCCTCCTCCTCCTCCTCCTCCTCCTCGTCCTCCAAGGCCTTCGCAATATAAAAAGGTGAGGCGGGGGAGGGACGGGCCCGGGGGCGGGAGTCCTAGCATTGTAGTCACGCCTCGCCTCCACATGGGAGCAACCCGCGCGCCCTCGTGCGCGTGCGGTCGGTCGGTCGGTCGGTCGGTCTGGTCGTCGGCGTCGGTCGGACGGTCAGTGCGTCGGTCGTCGTCGGTCGCCGTGACCAACGAAAACGTCCGAACGCTTAGAACCGCCGCCGGCCAGCCCCCCCTCCCCCCGAGCCAGTCCCCCTCTTGCGAGGCGGGGGCTTGTCCAGATCCACCGCCTGGGGAACCGAAGTCCTGGGGCCCCCTGGAGGTCCAGGAAGATCGGCTTTCTGGGCGGTGGATGCAGATGAATCCCAGCCTCGGACCCCTGTCGTTGCCCCCGACGGGAAGTATCGGAGAGCAGAGCAAGGCGCGCAGGCCTGGCGACGGTCGCACCCTTGGCCAGTCCCCCCCTGTCGTTGCCTCGGACATGGAGGGACAAAAAGGTGCCAATACCGCCCCCCGCCGGGACCTTTCCAAGGACACATCACGACCAGAACTTCGAAGCGGATCCAGCCGTGGCGACGAAGGAAGGGTTGCGGTATCGTTAGGGGAACATGCAATGACATACACATGACAAATCAGAGGTCCGCGCGGGATTCCTCGGATCGGCGCTGGGGCCCCTTGACGGCGCCTCCAGCGCCGCCCCTTGCGCGCACCGCGCGCAAGGTAGGGGGGTCCAGCGCCGATTCCAGAAGTCCGCGTGGACCTCAGAGTTTTTCCAAACCATCCAGTGGTGTTGCGCTTTGAGGAGACAGCGCCCCGCGTTCCCGCTCCTCTCCTCCTCTCCCTCCTCCCTCCTCCCATCCCTTGCCTCTGCCCTCCGCATGTTCTCATTATCAGCGTATGGGCGCATGCCGTTCCACCTCCATTTCGGCGTACCCTCACACGTTTTTGTGGTCCCATAAGGTGCTTTACTGGAGGCCCGTGGCAAGGTCGGCATGCAGTCCCACCTCCATGTCGGAGCACCCCTCACACGCTTCGTGGCCACACGAGGGGGCTCCCAACGAAGGCCCCAGTGGCAGGGTCCGCACGCAATTCCACTTCCATTTCGGCGCACCCCTCGCACGTTTCGTGGCCCCGTAGGATGCTCCACCGAAGGCCCCAGTGGCAGGGTCCGCACGCAATTCCACCTCCATGTCGGCGCACCCCTCACACGTTTCGTGGCCCCATAGGAGGCTTCACCGAAGGCCCCAGTGGCAGCATCCGCATGAAGTTCCACTTCCATTTCGGCGCACAGGAGGCTTCACCGAAAGCCCCAGTGGCAGGGCCCGCATGCAGTTCCACCCCCAATCTGGCGCACCCTTCACAAGTTCCGTGGCCTCATAGAGTGCTCCACCGAAGGCCCCAGTGGGAGGGTGCGCATGAAGTACCACTTCCATGTCGGCGCACCCCTCAAACGCTTCGTGACCTCATAAGGTGCTCCGCCTCGTCATTAGCATCAACAGCATCATCATGATCATCCTCCCGTTCCTTCCTCCTTCCTCCCGTTCCTGTCTCAGCCCCCCTAGTCCACAGTTCAGCACACCCCTCACACGGTTCGTGGCGCCATAGGGAGCTCCACTCATGACCCCAGTGGCAGGGTCCGCATGGCGGCCCCGTCCCAGTTCGGCACTCCCCTCACAAGGTTCGCGGCCTCACAGGGAGCTCCCCGCCGAGGGCCCAGGCGGCGCTGTCCGCATGCGTCCCCGCTACACATGTCGACACTTTTTTGACATCCGTGCGAAGCCCCAGTGGCGGAGGCAGGGGGAGAGAGGAGGAAGGGGATGGGGGAGGAAACGGGTCACGGGCGCCGACGCGCCCAGCGGCCAGCGGCCGCGCGCAGCGAGGGCGCGCGCAGCCCAGCACCTAATTAGTCAGGTGCGCCGGGGCGCTCTGCCAGGCGCGCCTGCAAGGCCGCGTCACCTCACACGTTGCGTGGCCCCGTAGGGTTCCTCTCCCTCCTCCGCCCCCCCGGGCGCTCTGCCAGGCGCGCCTGCAAGGCCGCGTCACCTCACACGTTGCGTGGTCTCATAGGGTTCCTCTCCGTCCTCCGCCCCCCCCCCCCCTCTCCCCGAGGGGGCGGCGGCGGCGGCGCGCCACGAGCTTGCCCGCCCGTTCGCGCCTCCTGCAGGCTCGCAGCCGCAGGGGCGACGACGACGACGGCGACGACGCGACGGCGACGGCGACGGCGACGGCGACGGCGACGGCGGCGACGACGACGACGACGACGACGACGGCGACGACGACGACGACGACGGCAGCGAGGAGGGCGAGGACGAGGGCGACAACTACGCAGACAGGAAAAGGTAACTTTGCCAGCGCAGGCCTCAACTAGTGAGTTCCTGCACTGTGGATGTGTAGCTGCGTGGTGAAGGCCGTGTGGAGTTGGCTGCGTGGTATGTGGTGCGAGCAGTGTGGTGCGACCTTTGCGCGGCAAGCTATGCGGTGCAAGCTACGCGGGCAAAATATGTTGTGCAAGCTATGTAGCGCACGCTGTGTGGTACAGCTACGCGGTGTGAGCTGCGCGGCGGGATTGATCTTGCGGAAGCTATGAGGTGCAAGCTGCGTGATGCAAGCTATGTGGTGCAAGCTATGTTGTCTAAGCTACGTGGTGAAGCCATGCGGCGACATGTACGCGGTGCAATGGCCCAAGGCAGTACCGCCTTGTCAACTCCACTGCTCGCACAACTTGGTTCGCAAACCCCATGCGGCAGCGACTGCAATAACGCCTTGGCACTGCCTGGCGCATCGCTGCGAGCGCGCCTGTGCGCGCCCGCTCATGCGCAGATCGGCCAGCTGCTTTGGCACAACTGATGCGGCCACGATGGCGCTTACCGATGGGACCGTCCAAGCGGTCTTTGCACTGGCGCGCGGGCGATTCAGTGAGGGTCGGTGGCTCGGGCGGGCGCGATACCATGATGACGTCGACAACGGCGGCGACGTCGACGATGACGGCGATGATGGCGACGGTGATGATGCCGACGATGGTGTTGATAATGATGATGATGACGATGATGATGATGATGATGATGATTATGATGCTGGTGGTGATGATGATGCTGATGATGATGATCTTAACGATTACGATGACGACGACGATGACGATGCCGCTGATGATGATGATGATGATGATGATAATTATTATGATGATGATGATGATGATGCTGATGTTGATGATGATGATGATGATGATGATGATGCTGGTGATGATGGTGATGACACTGATAACGCTGACGACGATGACAGCGATGGTGCTGATGAGGGCGATGAGAACGTGCGCGCCAGCAGAAATCGAGTCATCCTGACATAATCTCGACGCGGAAGCGCGGAAGCGTGCCCGCGTGTCCCGCATGGTATGTTCTTTTGGCAGAGCTGGTGGGCGCGCGATGGCTGTTGAGCGGTTTCGACATGCGCGCGCAAGTGGCCTGGATGGCAAGGCGGGGGTGTTTTCTTTTGGGCGACACATGCGTAGCGCAACTGTAATTCAGAGAGAGAGGGAGAGAGAGAGAGAGAAAGATAGAGAGAGAGAGAGAGAGAGAGAATAAGAGAAACCGAGAGAGAGAGAGAGGGCATGCACAGAGAGCCCCTCGTGCGCATCTAGTGCGGCACGGAGCCCGATGCCGCCACGCTACGCTGCGCGGGCCGCCCTCGGACGCGGCGGCGGGGGTGTTGGACAGGGAACCCTTCGATAAGGAATCCTGGTCCTGACAACCAGGGCAACGCCAATCGAGGCCGTGTCATGGGCAGCATCGCCGCCCTCATCAGATAAAGGAACCCACCAGGGTCTGAAGCCTCCTGGGCACATTCCTTAACGAACGCCCCAACCGTATGATTTGGCATGGTGGCTGAACTTACGATGTCAGCGGTGGCGCGCCAAGAACTCCTTCTGGCAGCTTCGCTGTTGGAAAAGCCAGGGAAGTGTTGATAAGTGTGACTCGCCATATTTTGGCACTGTTGGACACCCAATGGTTGTCCATGGATGTGACATGCGCGCGCGTGACATTTGTTGGATTCCCGCGCAAGGGATTATTGACAAGCGATCTGTCTAGATCAACGAGTCAACACGCATGGTGTTACCTGACAGGGACGAGGGGGGCCCAATACCGGCTGGGCTGTGATGGTATGAGTTCGTATGGGAACTGAGCGATGAGGCAGAATCAAATGTAAGATGTACTATCCCAGGCAAGCCCGATAACCCTGGGAATGGTGGAATCATTTTTCGTTTTGCCAGAAAACCTGTGCGGTGCAAGCGACATAGTGCAAGGTGTGCGGCCGTCCATTGGGAACCCACGAAGCGGTCACGGGCGGGTACCGGGCAAAACCTAGGACCCCCCGCGCGCGTGACGCGCACGAGGCGCCCGCGACTGGGTACCAACTGGGAGCCAGCCGAGAACCCAGAACACCCATCCAATTACTGATCAAAACAAGAGAGAGAGAGCCCTTGGATGAAAGCCCTGCCTGGGGATCCTGGATGTGAATGGGCCAGGGTGCGAGCGAGCCCAGCAGTCAGCGGCTGATCGTGAGCGAGTCTGTGAGTGAGCGGGATTGGATGTGAACAGGTATTGGAATTATGAAGGGGCCCCAGGACACACAAATAAATGCACACAAATAACATATTCCCTACATTTTCACAGATCTTCTGGGTTTTTGTCTTCCCCCCCACTTCCCAGATCTTCCCACATTTTCTCGGGAATCGAAGATTGATTGTGTCTGTGTTCTTTTTTCCCTCCTGAAGTTAGAGACCTGGGCATG